GAAAGAAAGAAAGAAAGAAAGAAAGAAAGAAAGAAAGAAAGAAAGAGAAAGGTTTGTAACGAAGCTCCATACCTGCGAGAAAGATCAAAGATCTTAAAGTGAGACAAGTCGGTTCCCACGGTCAAGTAATTCCCACAGACGTCCAGAAAGCAGGGATTGCCTTCCGTTTCAGAGAAGGTCAGCAGCTGCTTCACGGTGCCCTGGGAGAGAAGAAGGCGGCAGCGGGGTTCAGGCTAGGCCTGGGTCATCCTGTCCTGACCAAGATCATGGCCGCTCTCTGACGGATCCCCAGGAACAAGGAAATAAACGGCTGAGTAAATAGTCTGTAGAGATCGTCAGTCACCCAGGTCACGGTTGTCCCAAAGGATTCTATTCCCCACTATCCCGTCAGAGCTGAAGAACCTTCTTGGATGAGAAGCAAAATGGTTTCAAAAGGAAAAAACAAGAAAATCCAGTTGGCTCTGGGAAAAAAAAGCCCCTTTGGGACAATTGTGACTTGGATGACTGAGCATCACTGCAGACTTTTAGCTATACAATTTGGGATGAACACCCTTGGAATGGCGTGGGAAAAAAAATGACTTATGGCGGCCCTCACACCTATCTCCATTGTCTCTTGGCCATGTGACGAAAATTTGTACGCCTGGCAGCCCATGTATTTGTGATGGTTGCAGCATCCTAGGGTTGTCCAACTGCTATTTGCACATTTCCCAGCGGTCTTCTGACAAGCAAAGTCAACGGGGAAGCCAGATTCACTGAACGACCGGGTCACTAACAGTGCCAGTGATTCGCTGAACAACAACTGTGGCAAGGAAGGTCGTAAGATGGGGCAAACTCGCTTCACAGCTGCCTTGCTTAGCAACGAGAATGTTGGGCTCGGTTCTGGTCGTCACTCAAGGACTACCTGTATACGGTGCCAGATTCTACACCCGCAAGATCTTGGTTATTATAATTAGCTAGGCGGTTTTCCGTTAACGGGCCAGACAGTTTGGGTGGAAGAGTCTTACTCCAACCACAAATGTCATAAATCTCAAACTATTTCCTCAAGCGGGGGGCTGTCACTGCCCCCCTATAGTGCCAACTTGCTTACCTGCCAGGTGCGAACTTGAACCCGATTTGGTTCAACAGTATAAAGGTTCTCTTCATGCATAGCCAGCACAGGGGAATCACAGAGGAAAGAACCTGGAACCGTTCAAAGGAAGAGTCTTAAAATGGCCTTAATCTCTCTCTTTATTTGTACAGCTAAGAGCTTCATCAGTTATACCTAAATGTCTACACAAAAAAAACCCCTATCTTTTCTTTAAGATACGATAAGATAAACTTTGTTGTAATTTTTGTTTTCTGTGAACAGGCCGGCACAGATTTTAAAAAAATGAAATTCTGATCTCCATTCTCCAAAGAAAATAAATATATGACCATACACACACAGTACATGCACACACTTACACATATGCTATATATGTACATAGATATACATATATATAATCTGACTCACAGATGAACACAATACAGAAGCCAGATGATGGCAGATGAGATTCTGCCAAAACGTTGCTACAACTTTAAAAGCACAACTACAATGATGTGGGAAAATACCCGAACAAAGCTGAATACCTTATATATCTACATGTATATATACTGTATATGTATACACACATAGACACAGAGGTGTGTATGTATGTGTGTGCATGTATGTATGTATCCATTCTGAATACATTTTAGTATGGAAACATTTTTTCTTGCCTCTTTCTATAAAAAAGCAAATTATTGGCATTCTATATATAATTTCTAATAAAATTCCATTCAACCTACCTGAATTCCGTAAAGTGGCAGCTGACAGTTCATAGATAGAAACTTGCTTTCCATTCCAGAATGCTACAGCATCCTAAAAGACAGGATCAAAAAAGGTCACTAAAAATCCATTTCCTAGATTAATCCACAGATCTCAAAAGGTTATATCAGTCCTTCAGGGCCAACCGACACATTATGGTTGCTATATGATATGCAGCCTTTCTCTCAGGAGTGTTTGCTTCCAGAGGAAATTTTCATGGGCACCTCCTGGAGTTGGTTCTGGTTGCGCCCCATATCAAACTGTGAACTTCACCTAAACAGCATTTAGCTTGCTAAATTTCTAGGGAGATAAAGATTTATCTCCTAGGAATTTGGCAAGCTAAATGCTGTTTATTCAGGTTTTAAAAATTTAAATCTATTAACTTCAATTATTATAGCTTCTGTTTTTGCTTTACCTTGCTGTGCAGGACAGGCAAACTGCTGTTATTTTCATTATTTATTTGATTTTTATAGCTGCCCACCTCAACAAGTAATGCTGCACATGTCAGTATGTATCGTATGATAGATATTATTATACAAAGGTACCATTTTATATACTACTTTCTTTTATGATCAAATTCCATTAAGCTTCCCCGAATGCCCTTTTAACAGAGATGGGAGAGACAACATAGAAATCATTAAAGCCCATTAAGGGTGAACTCACTGAAATCAACGAGAATTTGAGTTCATCAGATTACATAATGAAATTCACAACCAGTGCCTTAAGGCTGGATTCCTCGGAAAATGTTTTTTATACCTCATCTTCATCCCCAAAACCAAGATAGTGGTACCTCAGTACTCATCATTGGCTATAGGAGGTGCAGTGAGTACCAGAAATAAGGAGTACCAAACACATTTTCCCCCATAATTTTAATATTTAATATTCCCATAAAAGCACATTTCTACAATTCTACAGAGGAATTCTTGAGTCTACCATCTGCACCTCTATAACTGTTTGGTTTGGTTCTGCAACCCAACAGGACAGACACAGATTTCAGAGGATAATTAGGACTGCAGAAAAAACAATTACTACCAACCTGCCTTCCATCGAGGACCTGCATACTGCATGAGTCAAAAAGAGGGCTGAGAAAATATCTACGGACCCCTCACATCCTGGACATAAACTGTTTCAACTCCTTCCCTCAAAACGACGTTATAGGGCACTGCACACAAGAACAACTAGACACCAAGGACAGTTTTTCCCTGAATGCCATCCCTCTGCTAAACAAATAATTCCCTCAACACAGTCCAAATATTTACAAAGTCTGCATTGCTATTACTATTAAACTTCTCATCGCTCCTTATCACCTCCCCCCTCCCACTTGTGACTGTATGACTATAACTTTGTCGCTTGTATACTTACGATTTATATTGACTGTTTCCTAGTATGATTTGATTGCTTATTGTACCCTATGACTATCATTAAGTGTTGTACCTGATGATTCTTGACTCTTGAAAAACGTATCTTTTCTTTTATGTACATTGAGAGGACTTGCACCAAAGACAAATTCCTTGTGTGTCCAACCACACTTGGTAAATAAAGAATTCTATTCTATTCTATTCTATTCTATTCTATTCTATTCTATTCTATTCTATTCTATTCTGTTCTGTTCTGTTCTGTTCTGTTCTGTTCTAGTCTAGTCTAGTCTAGTCTATTTTATTCTATTCTATTCCTATTCTACAAGAAATAATGTACTGACTCACAAGGTAGCCCACACCAACAAGTTCTAGCTTGTGCGTCGAGTACCAACAAACGATGAGTACTGGGACAAAATTTTTGCATCAAAATGCACTGAGGACCAATTTCGATGAGTTTCAATGCAGTTCAGTACCAAGGTACCACTGTACATCGATCTGACGGAAAATACCTTGGTTGCGCAGACTCCATTCACATGCGTATCGATACGGAGGTTATCCATCATGTTGCTGCTGAAGCTGGTGATGTTGAACAAGTTAGGGGAAACCTGGACCACGGCCATTTGCTGGTGGAAGTGTGAAGCCATGGCCTGTTCCCTCAGGATGGCAACCGAGTTGTTTAGGTTTACAGCCAACAGGTTCTTTTTGGAACTCCACTGGAAACACGAGGAAGAAAAACACATTAGGATTCACCAGGTGGCTTAGTGAGAAAATGCACTGTGTATAGAGCCACGGACTCTTTGAAAGAAACGTTGAAAAGAAGACAGACATCGATAACTTTTTAAGAGTCTGTAGAGATTCTCAATCATCCAGGTCATGGCTGTCCCAAAGGTGCCTTTTTTTTTTTTCAAGAGGCAACTTTCTTGTTTTTCCTTTGGAAGACGTTTCGCTTCTCATCCCAGAAGCTTCTTCAGCTCTGAAAAATGGGAATCCTCCCATTCTCGACTATTCTGTCAGAGCTGAAGAAGCTTCTGGGATGAGAAGCAAAACGTCTTCCAAAGAAAAAACAAGAAAGTCCAGTTGCCTTCTGAAAAAAGGCCCTTTTGGGATAACTTTTATTTATTTATTTATTTTTGTCAAGTGTGCCCACCTGCCTGCCACTCAGGCAGGAGTTGCACACACACACGTGTGCTCACCTGTCCCTTGTGCGATCCAGTTCAGAATGGGCCAAGGCCCGGGGATTGTGGACTCCAGATGTACGGGATTTAGTGGCCATTCAAAGCTACAAGGCTACTGGAAAAACAGTAAGTTAGGATCGGTCCTCACAGTTACAACTGTGGCAGCATGCCCCAGTCACAGCCTCAACCTTTGGGCACTTGGCAACCAGTGAGCGATCCTAGAATCAGGTGATTGCCGTTTGAAACCTTCCCAGATGGTTCCTGACAAGCAAAATCAAGCCAGATTCACATGATCGTGTGGGATTTCGCTTAACAACCATTGCAAAATTCTGGTAAAATGGGACACTGAACAACCAACATGCTTAGCAACGTAAATTCTCATCCCAGTTGTGGTCATTACCCAAGGATTACCTGTACTGTGAACAGGTGGCTTTTTCTGGCCAATTCATCTACCTGGTTTTTGACGAAAAGCTTAATTGGTTTGGTAATAAATTCATGCCAGATAGAAAAATCTGTCAAGGGTCTATTAAATAACTTACAAAAACATGGGGAAAGAAGTGGAAAATCTACAAATGCCTGCTCTTATTAAAAAAAAAATCCAGGAAGCATTATAAAAATGTGAAATTAATATACTGAAAGGGTTGAAACAAAAACTCGTCTAGAAGGTATAGCTAACAAGGCCCAAAATCTATCCAGCAACAAGCTGGTCGAATCAAATGCATTCAGTTTTGGTTATTTATGTAAGACAATTGCGCAGCCTACATCATTTGTTATGATTTGTCCACCATAATAGATCAAGAGAACAAGAACAACCATTGTTACGTCTGTTAATTTAAGTGTATGCTGAACTTAAAAGGCAAACATGAGTGTACTTTTCATCTGCCAAAGATTAACACCACATGCAAATAAACACTTCACGCAGAGTTCCCAACAAGGCTTTATCTATTTGCTCACATTTCCAACGAGTCTCTAGTTTCCTTTCATTCTTATACCTCATTGGAATAACTCCTTCTTTAAATGTATTTATTGAACCAAATTAATATCCCATTGCCATCAAACAGACTCTCAGAGCTCACAGTAATAAAGTCAATAAATAAATAAATACCCAAAATTAAGAAAGGACTTTTCAAAACTTAGTCATATAATGCTGGCAACACATTTCCAAAGCCTTCTAGAAAATGTCTGTTTTCTTTTTTTTTTCAGAAGGTGGATAAGGTTGGGTAGAAATGAATCTTCAACAGGAGGCCCTTCCAGAGGGAAGGCCCCATCCAATCTCCCCCTTGGCAACTTTTAAGGTGGGTGGACTTCAACTCCCAGAATTCTTCAGCCCGCAGGACCTCAAAGGTTGAGAAATACAGCAGTCCCACCACAACTGAGCCAACATTTCTGTCGCTAAGCAATAGTTATTCAGTGAATTACACCTCGTTTTATGACCTTTCTTGCCACATTTATTCAGTGAATCACTTGCAGTTCTTAAATTAGTAATCCAGTTGCTAAGTGAATCTAGTTTCTCCATTGACTTTGCTTGTTGGAAGATCGCAAAAGAAGACCACATCATCCCAGGGCAGTGCAACCATCATAAGTAAGAGTCAATTGCCAATTCTGCAACGGTCATAACTGTGAAAACTAGTCATTAGACACTCAGCTCCATTGTAACTTCAAACATTCACTAAGCAAACGGTCGTAAGTCAAGGGCTACCTATAGATGGCATCCCCTAATGACTTCTTATCTCTAGGTTGCGCACCTGTGCCAAAAAGCTTACTCTTAGTATCCCTGATGTGAGATTACACCTTCTTTGGCACGTGGTGTTGCATCCAAGGAAGCCAAAGAGAAGGATCCTATCTGTGAGTTTACCTCGATTTGAATGATATTCCCGTCCAGCTCTGTAGGTGTCTGGAGTTTCCACCTGTCCTTGCCTTCCAGGGACCAGATGGTTGGGCTGGAGAATGGCACTTTCCTCCACATCGCTATTCGCCCTTTATTGGTGCCAGCAGCTAGAAGACCTGCCAAATGGATCATATTAGATCTGGTCCAGGATGCCCTCACTCTCTTTCTGCCCAAAGCCAACATGTCATCAAACTCCAGTAGGAGCAACAGAAAGAGACGAAACATAGGGGAGAAACAAGTCTTAGGTGATAAGGGAAGCTTGTAGTTTAATTTCCACTGGCTGAAATAATTGTTTCCCATGAATATATGAATATGGCTTACTAGTATCATTTTCCCACTTAAATCTAACGGACCAAATTAAAGCAAGCTGCATCTCATTCCAACTTTGCCATTGAAGGCCAACTCACCGCAGCACATGGGACAACTTGCAGCGGGACAATTCAACGATACAATTTAATGATTTAAAATAATTTTCAAATAATTTTAATTTTTGACATTCACATTTCCTTCCGCTCCCTCTTTTTGCTTCCTTTCTGCAATGATTCTGTTCAACCATTTCTTGGATATTAGTGTAATATCCAATAGTGATATTAGTGAGTTGGCCGTGGCGAATTGTCCTATGGCAAGTTGGCCATGGGGAATTGTCATAGACCCTCCAAGTCTTAAAGTAGCCAAACTGACCCCGGGTTTAAATGTTCTTCTTCGGCAGCGTATCTCTCTAGATATAAATGTTTTCCGGGCTGTGTATATTTTGTCTTTAAGTTGCCCCTTATCAATGTTAGTTGGACTTCCCTCTGTGGAATAAATTACTTCCGAAACCAGTGAGATTTTTTTAAAAAAATGGATAATTAAGATGCTAAAGGTCAAAGCCATCTGATCTTTTGTATACCTTTGGCATTGCAATAGGAGACACAATGGATACATTCTCCAGTTTCAAAGCCTAGCTGTTCATCCAGAGAAAGGACATAATTCTCACCCCGTTCCAAGTCCCAGAACCTACAGAGAAGGTACAAGAAATATTGTTCATAAGGGGCATAGCTTACAAAAAAATCAACAGGCAATGTTGTAAAGCCCGATGGTGGCCATATTTGTTTTTCTGCCTTGCCTCGGCTGTTTGCTGCCTTCTTTTCTTGTATCTGTCTCTAAGACTGTGAGAAACTCTTCCATTCACTCTAAAAATAATCATAACAATGGCTAAACGGTAATCATCCAGTAGCTGGCCTACTGCTTAAGAGGTGAAGCAGGAGGGGAGAGATTAGTTCTTTAACTGAGACAGACATTTCTTGTTCTTCGTGTCTGTTCTCTGCTCCTAATAGTTCTGTGACTTTGAAGTAATATGAGAGTAATTTTCAGAACACATCCGTGAACACCAACTAGCAGTCAGAAGACATGATGAAAATCCTTCAATCTCACAACATATAGACAGGTTTAACCATAGTTTCAACTGGGAAAATATGACCCCAAATTTGACTTTTTACCTATCCGTCCATCTGTCTACCCATCCATCCAATTTAAGGCCTGCCTATCTCCCTCACAGAGGGAGAGAGATTGCATTTAAGGCAGACGTCGTGGTTTAAAAGAAACTCTGGTTAGCTACTAAGCAAGCCAGTTAAGCCATCTTTTATCAGGTCGTGTAAGAAAAAGTTAGTGAAAAAAGCGAAAGTTAGAATATTTTGGACCTGGGATGTGACACCCAGAAAAATACGGCATACTTCACTTGATCCTCCAGGGAAAGATTGAAGGCAAATGAGGTCCAAGGAGAAGAACATCATAGCTACAAAATCTAAGGGACTGGTTTGGACAAAACTCAGCAGCACTTTTTTGTGCAGCTGTTGATAAAAATAGGATCGCCAACCTGATCACCAATGTCCGATGATGGATAGAGGAGGAGGAGGAGGAGGAGGAGGAGGTGGGGGGGAGGAGGAGGAGGAGTAAGGTCTCAGGAGTTCTTACAGGCACCTCTTTGCTCTTAAATCTAATGTTGCATTTGGTATAATTTAAGGTTTTAAGTGAACCAGGCAGCACCTCAAAAGACCAAATGATTTTCTTACCTAAGTACGGGTTCGTTCATTGCAGTGATAAGGAGGCTATGATCAATCAAAATGATATCAGCGGGATTATTCATTTTTCCACTCAACTTCACCTGGTGACAAAAAGCATTCAGCGCACCAAGTTATTGAGTTTAATCCTTTTTTTCAAAAACCATGGTCCAAGTAAGCCATGCGCACCGAAATAAAAGTGCCTGACAATTATAAAAGGCAGTTCCAGGTCTCTGCTCATCAATTATTTTGATTCTTCAATTTCAGGCATGTCTAATGAAGTGGAACTCCAGCGTCCTCGAGGCAGCTGGTAAATTAGCCAAAACCCATAATAATCAACTATTTTCTTAAGCAAGGCATCACAGAGCCTGCTACCTCACCTTCAGAAGTTCTTCTGCTTCTCCTTCGGGAGAAATCTTGTGAAGGGATAAGAGGAGCGTCTCCGTTATTACTACCAAAACATCTTTTTCCATGAACAGCATTTTTTGGATTGAAGTTTCTATAATCAACGCTTGACTGGTTTTTCCTCTTTCACTCACATAATGCACAGTTCCTGCAATGCAAACAATTGGGCAGTTAACTCGGCCACCTAATGAAGCTCAGGGTGTCTCAAATTCGGGATGAACAGTGAAAGAATTATCTCAAATTATCTCAAGAGCGGAATCAACCGATGCATTTTTCAAAACGGTGGAAAGAAACTTAACGTAAGATGTTATGAAGATGGAAGTTATGGGAGATTGTGATGAAAGCCAACTTTGACTTTGGGACAATCCTGAGTTCTAGTCCAGGCTTAGACATGAAAGCCAGCTAGGTGACTTGGGGCCAGGCCCAACCCACCTCACAGGGTTGTTGTTGTGGGGAAAATAGGAGGAGGAAGGCGTGTTGGGTATGTTCACCGCCTTGAGTTATTTGAAAAAATAACAAAGTTGGAAAATCAATAAAAAAGAAAGACTAAAAATAACGACTAAAAATAAAAGAGAGTCAGGCTAAACAAGTAGGCTAAAAGGAATCCACAGACTCCATGGAAAGTGGCATTACTCACTGTCAATATTAAGAGTGTGAACAAATAAGAAATTGCAGGAAACAGATTCAAAGAGCTCTCTCTTTCGCTCTCTCCACTTGTGCAAAGATGCAAGGAAAATGAGCTCTCTTCATGCCTTGTTTACATCTCAAAAGGTAGGAGCAACTTGCCAAATTTAAATCCCATGCATTTGTGGTTTACCCATAGGGGGAGCTGTGATCTTCCAAATTAACCACCATATGAATTTCATGGGGAATGAAGATTGGTTTGTGGCATAGTCAGCCAGATGTTCAGACTGGATTTGACATTTTAATTCATCTATGAAATCTTTCCCAAGGACCTGGGATAGGCAGACCTGGATGTTTGATGGTGTTAGGGGTAATGTTGCAGGATGCAAGCTCTTCCAAGTACAGCTGCCTTTTGCAATTGATTACTGATGAATTTGTCAACGACAATGGTGCTAAGTAGTGCTCCAGTTGTTTGGGGATTTATCATAAGGATTATAAATGATATGGAATATATTACTATATATGAGTTTATATAAGTAGACCTCAAAGGTCCTTGGGGAAGCTTGTAGGAACCAGAAGAATTAGCTTTTTCTTAAGTTAATCCATCACACAGCTTTAAATATTTGTATAAATTATAGAACATAAATGTAAAGAATAAAGATCAGCCAATACATTCTTGTTTTTAAATCTGCTTTGTTCTTACCATCAATCATGCTTACAAAGAAGGACAGGCCTTCCTGGGGTCCCATTTTCAGAGCCATCCCCATTCCAGATTTTCTCCAGTTAAACATATCCAGGGCCTTCTCATCACCGCTCACTGCAGCTTTGGCGAGCTGGACCAAATCTCTGCAGGTAAGAACAAGACATTTCAGTTTTGGCATCCTTTGGATTTATGTACAAGGCGACAGCTTCCTTTTTACATGCAGACCTCGAGTTACAACCATCTATTTAGTGGCCATTCAAAGCTGTAACAGCTCTGAAAAAGAGTGATTTTTTAAAAACTGGTCCTCGCACTTATGCCTGTCACAGCATTCCTAAGGTCACATAGTCAAAATGCAGGTGCTTGGCAACTGGCTTGTATTTACGACAGTTGCAGTGTCCCGGGGTCATGTGATCATCATTTGCAACCTTCCTAGCTGGCTTCTGACAAAGTCAACGGGTGAAAGCTGGATTTGCTTAATGACCACATGATTCAGCAACAGCAGAATTGCTTAACAACCACGGCAAAAATAGTCATAAAATTGGGGGTGGTTTATTTAATAACCAACACCCCTAGCAATGGAAATTCTGGTCGCAGCTGTGGTTGTAAGTCAAGGATTCCTTGTAAAAAAAATAATTACTTCTTTAAACAATAAGAGGTTTCTCACCCCACAAGGAAGTCCCAGATGTTTTCTAATATTAAGGGTTTTTTTTCTGATAGGCACTTAAGGCTTAGCACAAGGTTCTTCAAACTTGGCAAGTTTAAGACTTGTGGATTTCAACTCCCAGATTTCCTGAGCTAACAGGACTGGAGGAGGAATTCTGGGAGTTGAAGTCCACAAGTCTTAAAGCTGTCAAGTTTGAAGACTGCTGGCATTGCACAAAAGGAAACAGTAGGCCTCCATTGGATTTTAAACATATACTGTACCGCAAGCAACACCATAATTTTTTAGACAATTTAGGAAGATAAAGAGGATGAAAAAATAAAAGGTTTCAACCTGAGAAGCTATAAAAATAGATAACGCTAAACAATGATTTTTAAAAAATGAAACACAGGGAAAAAACTGGCATTTGCTTCATCATCGATACTGACGCCTAAAAATCAAAGAAGTTTCACATTTTTTGTTCCAGTGAAACGTAGTATTTACAGACTAAGAAATTCTAGCCAATTCTTTCATACTTACTCTCCTGGAGGAGGTGGGCGAAAAATGCAGAAATTAAGATGTTTTCCATACTCGTGTTTTAACAAAGGGGGGCCTTGGACTCTACCCCGCTGATCCATCCGCCACAATACAAGAACCCCGAGCTACAAAAGAGAGATCTATTAATATTTTCTTACGGACCGTTTGTTCTGCAATCGATGGTCCTGGTTTTGAGATGAGTTCGTATCTTTTTTTTTTAATTATATAGTTTATTATTTTCAATTAACAGTGCTTATATAAGTGCTTTGGAAACAGTGTATTCTCTGGGTCAGTTCCTTACATAATAAAATTTTCCCAGCTCCTAATTTCTACTTCTATTACATCCAATCATTTATAAAACAAATCCCATCCCTAACGTTTAGAAGCAGTCAAAGAAAATTGTCTTGTTCACCGGAAGAGCATTTTCCTATTTCCCATACTTATTTAGGGTCAATTCAGCCCTTTGGAGTATATGTATAAGACAATTCTTAATATTGTGTGATGCTATACTGGGTCACCAGGAATTAAATCCCAGTTGAGATAATTGTCAAATAACGGAGTGGAATTACAGAGTAGAGAAAAGCTACATTTTCAAAAAAAACATTTCTGTTGTAGGGTAAAAGCAACGCCAAAATCTAATTTTGTCTGGGTGATGTTCACTATTAAAATTGTCTCACTTATCTGAAAATTTCAAATATACATATGCAGGAATGAGGAGCAGTCGGCAATTTCTGAAGTGCAGGGGGGGAAGGTTATTAACGAGAAGAGCACCAAAAAATGGATGTTTCTGAACTTTTAAAATACAGACAATCCTGGTAATGGATTGCTCAAGTCACATGATTCAATTTTCAGTTTGCCATCATTTTGTTTTGTGCTTTGAAAGTTGGCAAAATAGAATAAAAAGATTGGGAAAATGTACCTGACATGTCAACGAGGGAAATTTCCATAATCTGTGTTAACGAATGATATATAGGCTATGCATTGATGTGCTATTCAAAAGCCATTTTGATTTTGCTACTTACTTTATCTCCAGAAACGAGACGGGTCCCATTAGTACTCCAATTCAGGACTGAAATATCAGCATTATGATTGGAGGGTACAGCATGATGCTCCTTGTCTTGTTTATTCACTACTACCACATCTCCCATTTCGCAACCCACGGCCACAATCAGTTTGGAGGGGTGCCAACTGAGATACGTGACCCGAAAGTTTTTTTCCAAGTGTGCATCACCCACATACTCTCCCTGGGGGAGGGAAAAGGGAAACAGAACATCATTACACACACACACACACACACACACATCTCCCAGGAAATCTAGGAGTTGGAGTCCACCTGTCTTAAAGTTGATATGGTTGAGAAATTACACTCACATACATTCTCTCTCTCTCTCTCTCTCTCCCCCCTCTCTCTCTCTAATATCTATGTCTATCATCTATCACTGTCTCTATTTATCCTATCTATCTATCTAT